ATAATAATTCAGGAGGTCATGAGGTGGGTAATAAGAGTGTTTCGTCATACACAAAATGCTCATAATAAAACAAGATCGCCCATGCGGAAGACATTTATGACGACGCTCCTCCTCTCCAAAATGTGCTGCAGGTACATATAGATCAGGTACGTGTTCTGACTCTCAGCTAGTGATTAAAGCTGATACTCGTAAAGCCTGAGTTTCAACGTTTTCCGAATTCTCCATCAACAGGCAGTGACTTTCCAAACGCAGAAGTATCGTTCGACTCCACAAGCCTGGAGCAGGCTAATAAGGCGATGAATACTGCATCGGGCCTCGAAACAATACCCACATACGAGGGCAATGCATATAGCTTGTTGTCATACCAGTCGACCTCTGGCATTGGCGACAAGGCTAGTAGGACGCAAGAAGTGGGCGTAGATGGTCAATCTGCTAGCCCTCACCTTACAGTAAAGCCTACGAACGCAATTCCGTATCTCAACCGCACAACTGCGGCTGCTCAGCGCTTACAGCTGAAAAAGCTTTCTAGACCCTTCCGTCCGCCTGCCCTTCGACAGCCCGTAAAGCTGGCTCCCAAACCTTCAATGACTGACTCAAGGCCTATCACCTCCCCTACACACCCGGAAACACTCTATGAAACTCCGTCTTCGAGGAATATTGGACAGGCCGGGATCTCAGCTGCCTCTTCATCCTCGCAGACTTCAGATACCAAAATCAAACACAGGACGGCTCGAGCCGCTTCTCAATTCAAATCCCCTCTGTCTGCTCCTGCCGAATCGGTCGATGATGCCTTGGTGAGGTTAACACCCACAATCCAAGCATTGGAACGCAAGCTCCAAATTCTGAAGCGCGCCTTGAAGGTCAGAGGGGATGTGCAAGAAGAGGTGCTTGAAGGGCTCGTACAAAAGTGGTCAGAGGCTGGGCGAGAGGTCGCGTCGGAGGTATGGGACATCGTCAAAGACAATATCAGCTCAGAGGGGGAGCCTCATTCCGTGGAGGGTAATGGCAAAGGAAAGAAGCGTGCTGTGGATGATGGGTGGGGATGGGAGAACTCAAGCGACTTGAAGAAGCAGAAAATGGAAGAGAAGGAGAGGAATTGGGGCTGGGACGTTGTGCCAATATCTGAGCGAGAGGGGGAAGCTCCACCGGCAACGGATGAAGAATCGATGGCCGATGACCAGCACGAGGACGTGGAGGATGCCCCCAGGAATAGCTTGGGTACCATGTTGATGCAGCTCGGCATAGCACCTGAAACGCTGGGGTGGGACGAGGAGGAGGGTACGTTTGTGGACAAATAAACTAATAATTCCAGAGTATTCCAAAACCAACTTTCTTTGAGATCATGTGTATTACCATGCCAAACTGCTTCATGCGTATCTACAACCGTCCCTGCAACCGTAAGAACTTTAGTATGACCCTAAATGCTTAAATGACATGGGATCGCCTCCACGTGGTATTTCACTTTCGTTTTTATGTTCCAACAATAAGTGAAGCATGTCGTTCAAAAGTAGAAACAGCGTTCACGCGCATGCCATCGCATGGATACGAATACTTTGTCCCAGTCACGCAACAGTTAAGCGTAGCGTTTTTTCAAAGATTATCCTATCAAGTTCGATTGACTTACTAAAGCGTCCCTGGTTAACTCTATGGAAGACCATTGGTGTTTTGTCATAGATTTACGACAGCTCCAAGCAAGCTGCAAGGTTGATATGTTTGATCAATCGCAACTTCCCAAGTCGGATGATGTCGTGAACACCATGCGCAAGAACGTCTAAGCGTGCCAAATAGCAAAACAACTCCACTTCGTGATGCAATTGTATTTTTATAGAGTAAGGGTACCCACATACTGCCTGCATACTGCCGAATCAAAGAAGTGGGTCCAGGCTTGGCACAATGAAGATATCGACAAGGCCAAGATCTCTCTAGATCTATATTTGGTTCAGTCATTGAGATCAAACAGTCTGTTTACTGATGGATGTAAACTCACAAGTGTCAATTCCCTCGGAGGTGACTCTGCCCGTCTTTTTCCTTGAAATATTCTCAACGGACGCTTGAGCGCTGTTGATTCTGATGAACGCGATCCCTGATCCACAACGCGCTGCTGTAGGCGTGGGAGGAACAATTACGTAATGCATCAACAGTGGCCCAAGAACCTGGCATCAAGCGCTCTCTTGAATCGCCCCCCACGCACGCTTTCATCTTCTTCCGTTCCTTTAGTTTGTTCTTCCAACCACTCTCACGATTCTCGAATATTGCGACCTGAAGATATACGACAGAAGCGCTTCTGCCAGAACTTTCGCGAACACCTAAACACACATACCAATCAATACCGCGTTCGTCAAATTTGTCAGGTTTTTGCTGCGGCGGTTTGACGCCCGACTTGATTTAGTACATCCAGCTTGATGTCGAGGTCACGAAGCGTCAGCCTTGAGATTGTCCCACCGGCTGGCTCGCGTCCCGCAGGACGACTTGCAGATGTGATGGATTCCGCGTTCAGAAACAACAGCAAGGAGGATGAGGAAGACAATAAAGGATTGGACGATGCTGATGCAGACGCGGATGAGGAGATATCAGTTCCTCGAGTCCCAGGCAATAACGTGAGAAGTGCATTCTTTACCTCCGCACTCTGCCACTAACTTGAACCATGACCAAAGCCGCTTAGTGTATTTCCGCCTGTCCCGTGTGAGCGCTGTGTGCGCACCAACAAGACATGCAAAGGCGTAGCTGGGGCGCGTTGCGACTACTGCAAGCGCTTGAAGCAGAAGTGTTCGAATAGTACTGGCCCGGCGCGAGGCAAACACGCTAGTACGCAGGTCCCTCGAATGTTCGTGGCATGATCTGACCGGTTATACACTCTATCCAGCCCCAAAGAAGGTGTACGAAGTGGCAAGCACGTCAAAAGCTGCCGCTCCCAAAGCAGGAAGTTCCGACTCGTCCAAATGGCCAGATCGACCAAAGCGAAAAGCGTCTGGGAAACCAAACATGTCACAGAACGATGACAGCGATGACGGGGACGGTACTGACGATGTCGAGGATGGCCACGAACTCCCGCCCAAGATGAGCAAGAAGCGCCGCATAACCAAGTCGAGCTCTGGACCTTCTCGTGCTCTTCTTGCGAGAGCCCTAGGTGATATGGAGGCGTCCGTCAAACGAGTTCAGTTATCTGTCGCGAAAGAGGTGGAGAAGATGAATGGGATAATCAAGACGCTTAACGCGAGGGTCAAGGAAATGGAGGAGGACTAGGACCGGGATGGCTCGATCGTGGACGGAATTATCTAATCGGGAACATGGAATTTCTGCAGTATCTGCTGAGAATTATTGCTTTCGGTTCGAGCTGTAGTATCATCACAATTGGGTTATGACTTTTTCTTCTTTTCTGGCATGTACAATCTTACTTTAGTAGTCTGTTAATCTCTGTCTGTAATCTTTTGGTATCGAAAGTTGTTGAAATTGCTAAATAACCATACATTAGTTGCTCTGCTTTTTCGCTCAGGTCAGGGCAGCTCAAACATTGCTATTGAGCACAATAGCTAACTTTGGCTGGAAATTCCCCGGTGGGTAAACTCCGCGGGACATTTCATCAAGTCTTGACTTGGTTGATCCGGACTTGGACTAGTTGTAACAATATGAAGATATATCTGTCGATAACCGGTCTATGTAGTAACAACGAGAGGATCAGATGTGGGTATGATTGTGTTCACGTGATGGGATAGACTTGACCGCGATGGTTTGCGCACATCGAGCGCGTTTGGCGTGCAGTCATCCACATCACGCCCGCATATATTTCAAGGTTACGCAAGAACCGCTCCAATCTTCCACTCGCAAAAATGCCACCTAACCCTTTCGTCCTCATAACACCAGGCGCAACTCGCGGTCTTGGTGTTGCACTCACGCGACAATTCCTTCGGACTACAAACCTTCCTGTCTATGCCACACACCGCACTGACGATTCAGACAAGGTTCTGAAAGATAAGATTTTTGAGCCATTGGAAGACATGGATCGCTCGCGACTGAACCTTCTCCGTCTGGACCTCACCTCCGAGGACAGTATCGCTGCTGCCGCCAACAACCTTTCTGAAAACCTCAAAAAGAACAACATTTCAGACCCATTTCTCCATACGGCTTTTATTACTGGAGGAATGCTCCACCCCGAAAAACAACCCTCGGATATTAATTGGGACGCGCTCAAGGAGACCTTCCAAATCAACGTCATATCCCATCTTCTCATCATCAAGCACTTCTCGCGTTTCCTCCCGATTAGCACACAAAAGGACTTGCCAAAACCCTCAAAGTGGGTTCACATCTCAGCACGAGTTGGCTCAATTGAGGACAACAAGCGCGGTGGCTGGTATTCTTACCGTTCCTCCAAGGCGGCGCTCAACCAGGTCGTGAAGACATTCGATTTACATCTTCAGCAGCACAAAAACAATGCTATATGCGTCGGGCTTCACCCAGGAACTGTCAGAACGGATCTAAGCAAAGGATTCTGGGAGTCTGCGGCTCGTTCAGAGTTGTTCGATCCGATGGACGCAGCAACGAACCTTATGGGAGTCGTAGAGAACTTGAAAATGGATCAGAGAGGAAAATTGTGGGATTGGGCTGGAAAGGAGATCCCGTGGTAATGTTGAGCGGTCACAGAAGGTATAAAAATGGTTGTTGACGCTGATAATTCTGTTGCCGTCTCGGATTTTAGGACAATGGTCATGAAGATTGGCATGTATGTTGAACAAGTTGTAAGGCAGTCGAAAAAATACTTAAACTCATTGTAACATGGCTCTGTGACATATAGCTCAGCATAGCCCTTGCGATAAGCTCATATTCAGTAGAGGAATGAGATTTTTTTCTTAAGCAAGTGAAAAACGGCGTTAATGGTGAGCGCTTCACAACTCGAGCACCAGAATTGTTTTCCGCTTTTGGAAGTTTAGCTTCCCAAAGTGTCATTGCGATGCGTTACAGATGTGCTCACTGGTAATATTGTATGCCTAGTGACAATGTGTATGAGCAGCATGGCGCAGTGGCAGCGCGCGGGGCCCATAGGTTTACAGTCTTGTGACTGCACCGCAACCCCGAGGTCACTCGATCGAAACGAGTTGCTGCTATACCTTTTTGGCCAAATTATGGCACCATGAGCAAGGTCGTTTCCCACGATCCAAGCCTGACTCGATAACACTCCTAGCACTCAAATATACCGTACTTTTTGTTGCACCGTGCATCATATCTTGCTTGCCTCATCACCATAAATCTCTGAACACTAACTTTGAACGTGGAACCATTTTTGACCGCTTTGAAACGTACAGCAAACATAGTGCAAGCAACTGTATAGATTTCACATCTTCAAGATTGACAACCACACAATTGCACTACACAGACTACACGGCGTCGACGTCTCTTTAAATGTAACGAGCGAAAGACGACGGTATACAACGATAAACAACAGAGTCCAACAAGGGATGATCAGACGAAAAGCAGAGGGACGACGAAACGAGTGAAACCACCCTAAGCTGAAGCGGAAACATCAGGAGGAGGAAGGGGGATATCTTCGCTCATCGGCACGCCACCAGTCTTCATCTTCACCACCTTCCTCGCCGCAGGGCGCGCAGGGTTCGCAGCCGCAGGAGTGCTACTAGCCAGCACGCTCCTCTCCGACTGCAACTTCCCACTAATCGGTCCCAGCAGATTATCAAACACCGCCCGAGCCTGCCCAACCGCCATGGCATCCACCACCGCCGCCTCCCCATTCCTCAGCGTCCTCGGCGACGTCCCATCCAAAAGCCCCAACTGCTCCTCCGTCCACATCGGGTCCACATGCGCCTCCTCCGCGCCGGCGGTGAGCCCCACGCCCGCGCGGCCGCCGAGGGCTTTCCAGTCCGCGAGACGGTTGATCTTGAGCTCGGCGAAGATCTTGTCGACGGCGCGCACGAGCTTGTCCATTTGTTCGAGGGTGTGCCGGGGTGTGACGGTGATGCGGAGCCGTTCTTCGCCGCGCGCGACGGTGGGGTAGTTGATGGATTGGACGTAGATGTTGTGTTCGGCGAGGAGTTTGTCGGAGGCGGCTTTGGCGAGTGCGGCGTCGCCGACGAGGACGGGTACGATATGGGAGGGACCAGGGCTGGTGAAGAAGAAATGGAATGGAGATCAGTTTCATTCTTCCGGAATTAATTCTAGAAGAATGCTTACACAACGGGTACATCGAGTTCAGCAAAGCGGCGTTTGACTTCACGCACATTGACCTGTTTGAGCTGCCGATCGCCGACATAGTGCTTCTGGTACACCACGCTCGCACGTGCACCAGCGACGGTCGCGGGGGGGAGCGAGGTAGTAAAGATGAAACCCGGTGCATAAGATCGGATCATATCAACAAAGTCGTCGGAACCAGCGATGTAACCGCCGACAGCGCCATAAGCCTTGCCCAGAGTACCTGATAGAATGAGAATGATGGGGTAAATCAGTGAAATGCTCGAAGAGGGCCGAAAATGGGCGTTGACGTACCGGTAATGATGTCAACACGATCCATGACGGAGCCCTTGATGGGATGGGGGCTCTCGCCGGCGGCTACGTGTGCATCGTAATCCAAATGTTCAGCTACGCCAGCGCCACGGGGTCCGTACAACCCAACAGCATGAACCTATCATATCGTAAGGAAATGTCATAATGAAGAACCTGAATAGGACGTACCTCGTCCAAAAACGTAAGGGCACCATATTGTTCAGCCAAATCACAAATTTCCTTGATGGGTCCGATACTGCCGCACATAGAATAGACGCTCTCAAACGCGATGACCTTGGGTGTATCCTTGGGGTACTGCTTGAGTTTATTTTCCAGATCCTCCAAATCATTATGCTTGAACAAAACGCGCTTGGCGCCCGAGTGACGCATGCCCTGGATCATGGAGGCGTGGTTCATGGTGTCCGAGAAGAAGATACAGCCGGGTAATTTAGCACCGAGGGTGGAGAGCGTGGCGTCATTGGCGACGTAGCACGAGGAAAAGACGAGTGCGGCGGGCTTCCGGTGGAGAGTAGCGAGCTCTTGTTCGAGGGAGAGATGCATGGCACCGTTGCCAGCGATGTTACGGGTACCTCCGGCGCCATGGCCGTACTTGTCAAGAGTGCGACTAATGACACAAATCGCATAAGCTTCGGTAAAATTAAATTAAAACAGGATGATTGACGTACTGCATGGTCTCGAGGACAACTGGATTGTTGCCCATACCGAGATAATCATTAGCGCACCACACTTCCACCTCGTCCTTCACGTTGCTAGTATGCGCAACGGGGAACTTGGCCGCGAGACGATTGATGTTGTTAAAGTAGCGGTACGACTTGTCCTGGTGCTTCTTATCCAGCTCATTGACGTAGAACGACTCGTAATTAAAGCCTCCGTCTTCCTTGGCCTTAACAGGGGCAGGAGCAGCGGCGGCTTTACGAGCGGCGGCGGCGTCCGCGGCCGCCTTGACGTGGAACGGACACCCAGCAGCAGCCGCCTGCGCCGCCTCGTCCCTGGGTGCAGCACTAGTAAAATGGCCCTTCTTCTTCTCAGCCGCAGCAGCGAGGTCATCCGCCATCCTCGCAGCGGCCCTCGCCGCCGACGCATGCGGACACATCTCAACCGTCGCCCCGGGCGGGGGGAAGACGCCCTTCTCCTTATGTATGAGCGCCACGTCCGAGTTGGCGGCGACGCTGGCGTAGCCTGCGACGATCTCCTTGGAGCGGACGTTCAGGGCGGGGCCCATGACGGGGCATTTCGTGGCGCGCTCGGTGAGGGCTGTGAGGGAGGGGAAGCGCGGGGAGGAGGAGGTGGATAGGTTGCGCAGGGTCGAGTTCTTGGTCCGCCCGAGGAAGGGGCAGGTCTGTTTGAAGCGGGCGATCTTGTCCATGGTAGCAAGAGGTAGTGGGGGGAACGGTAGAGAGAGGATTTACCGAAATGTCACGACTTTTTCAATCTTTCGGGTTTACGCTGTAACCACTCCCGACCAATCACATCACATCAATTAGGAATCACCTGATTGATTCCTTCTCATACTCTGCTCTATTTTCAAATACATCCATTCCATTCCATATTCACACAACACTATTCCTTAACTATTCATCTACTAATCAAGCGCGGCTCACCACATGCAGACAACTCTCCAACACATCCACAGCCAAATCCACCTCCTCCCTCCCCACATTCAAACTCGGCACAAGCCGCACCGCGTCCTTCCCAGCCGTCAACACAAACACCCCCCTCTCCCTCGCCAGCTCGACCACCTTCCCAGGGTGCGTGCTCCCATCCTTGAACCCGAGCCCCCGGATCAGCCCACGCCCGCGAATGTCGCCCTGGAGGAGATCCGGGTACCACGCCGGCAGCTGCGCGAGCCGCGCACCGAGGTAGGCGCTGGTGGAGGCCATTGAGGCGAGGAAAGCGGGTGACGACAGCCGCGTTAGGACGTGATGCCCGATGGCGCAGGCGAGAGGGGAACCGCCAAAGGTGGTCCCATGCGTGCCTATTTTAGATGAGATGTGAATTAGGTCTGACGAGCCCGTTGGAGAGAAACCAAAACCAAGGATGCTTACCTGCGGTCATGGTTCCCGCGACCCGATCTCGCAGTAACACGGCCCCGATCGGATACCCATTCGCCAATGGTTTGGCCATGGTTACAATATCAGGATGACACTCCTTCGGCAACGCCGAATGCGCCCATAGCGTTCCCGTCCTATACAGCCCGCACTATCCTAGTTATTAGCATTCCAGCTATCATTCATCAAGATGTAACGAACATACCTGGATCTCATCAAAGATCAACACCGCGCCGACATCATCGCACCGCTTCCTCAACGCCTTCAACCACTCAACACTCGCATCATGTATCCCGCCCTCTCCCTGCACAGGCTCAACAATCACCGCACACGTATCCTCCCCCACCAACGCCTCCAACCCCGCCACATCATTCAGCTTCCCCACATCCACCCCGGGGATCAGCGGCGCGAACGGTTTCTGGTACTTCGGGTTCGTCGTAACACTCAGCGCACCCATGCTCCGCCCATGGAACGAGTTCTCAAAACACACAATCCGCGTCTTCCCACACGCCGCGTCGTCCCACTGCCTCCCCGCCTCCTTCGCCGCCCAGCGCTCCTTCCCCACCTTCCGTGCGATCTTGAGCGCGCCCTCGTTCGCCTCCGTGCCGGAATTGGCGAAAAAGACTTTCGCACCGGTGTCACCCGTCGTCTTGCCTGCGGTGTACCCGAGCCCACCCTCGGCCTGGGTGAGTGTGATGAGAAGCTCGGCTAGCTTGCCGGCCCATTCGTTGTGGTACACGTTGCTCGTGTGTAGGAGCTTGCCTGCTTGTTCCGTTAGGACCTGTGTGAGAATGATGAATGAGGTGAGTAAATTGTGTTGCTGTTCCACGTGTGCGAGGGAGGAAATGGATGAAACGAAATCTATCGTGAGGGAAATTTTGGCGAGATCGTTAACCGAGGGTATGCTCCTCGAAACGGTCTCTGTGTCCTATTTTCGAGATGTAGGAATGTAGTCTCGAAATTTTGGGCGTGTCAGGAAGACAAAGATAGCACCCAGAAAAAATGTAAAATTACACCTCTTCCCCAGAGTCAATAAAGATAACAACTCTTTTGAACTGCGACCGGAAATGGAAGCAAAGGAAAGAGTCCTCGATCTATCCACTGTCCTGGATAGAAGAGGGCAGATATCAGGAACCAATACCGTCGTAGGTATTCGCTCTCGACCAATGCCCTGGTTCAAAATGCACCACAATGAGAACGCAAAGAATCCCGGACCACCCAAAAATGAAATGAAATAGTAACAATAAAAACTTGGATAGATGAAGAGGGTAGCAGATATCGGGAACCAATACCATCGTCCGTATTCGCCTCCCAACCCCCCGGCCCAACATGCACCACAAAAAACGAACACGGAAAATCCCCAAACGAATGAAATAGCAACAACCAAAACCCACCTTCAAAACACCCTCATCCCCATGCCCCAACGCATTAACCGCAATCCCCGCACTAAAATCCAAATACCCCCGCCCCTCAAGATCATACACCCACCCGCCCTTGCCGTGGCTCAGCACGAAGTCGGGGCGCGCATACACGGGGAGGAGGAA